CGTAGTTAACATGATCCGTCAAGAATTATTCTGATGTAGCCAAGTATAGCAATGAATCTTCAGGGTATTTGAGGACACATGATTTTCCTTGATTAACCTGAAAAAGGTTTCTTACTCTCAGTTTCTGATATATTTTCTTTATACTATTAAGTTACTGTCTAGTGTTAAACTTTTTTGGTAACACAGTTATAATTAACAGAAATGCATTATAACATCAAGACAATATTTTAAAGAAAATTCATACTTTTTTAGAAATGGGCTACTGCTATATCAGTACAATGAGGGCGAATTAAATGCGTAGAATTCCATAATGTGTTTTAGGTTAAGTCATAGTCTTGTCATTATACAAAGTGGATTAGTTTTATTTATCTACCATCATTTTCATCTGACATTGAAATGCTATTTTCACAGCTTTGTTCTATTCAGTTAAACATCTGACTTCTCAAAGTAATCAACAAGATATCCCATGTTATTTGTGAAATACGTATTGCAAAGTTTATATAGCTGATTAGTCACATGACCACACTTGGGATCATGGGAAATTACTTCTGTGGATGTATTCTGTAGAGTTTAAACTTGATCTTGAAATATCACTTGTTTGCAGATGGATTAACTTTTTCACCTGCTTTAACACTTTTCAGTGATCTCTCCCTAGATTTGTATTTCAGTGCCATTTTCATTTTACCTGCCAATATTTTGGCCAGGATATGTTAAAATATCCTTTTGACCAGGATGCAAATATATTCTTGAGGGGATGGCATGTCTTTTTCAACTTTTTTGCTTTCCTTGTCTTTTATATAGGGCACAATTAGTAAAAATAAAAAAACTGTAGAAATAATGTTTGTTTGAAATCAGAGTTAAGTTACATCCTATTTACAAGATCAACTTTTAGGAATGGGGCAGTGGCATCTGTCTATTCGATCCCATATAATAACTTTGATTTAAATAAAAAATATCAGAATATTTTAAGTAATGGTTTGTGTTCATGGTTCTTGAATTCCATACATGAACATCCTAAACCTGCACCTTTAGAAAGCAATCGTGGGTTGTTCCGAGGTAGCTGGTTATATATTGAGCTATACTGAGAGAATATACAATGATGAACAAATGGGGCAAATGTTGTGTTTAAATTCTTAAATGTGTCATTGTGACTAGGATTGTTCCTTCGATTGCTCACACATTCACCGACCAACCAATTTTTCGAAGATATCAAAATTGAGAATATCATGCGACTAGTAAATCAGAAGAATAATGTGTGTTAAATTACTTTATTAAATATGAAATGTCGCAGTGGCCTGTTGGCAAAATGCTTATCTTGCTCCCAGATGACTTTGGTTCGAATCCCTGAAAAAAACTTTTTTAGAATATGGTTGTGGTTTGATATAACACAGAAAAAAACAGTTATAACCATGTCAACTTATTGTGTTTTAAATGAAGGTTGGTCAGACTCAGCCTTTAATTTTATTCGGAATACATATACTGTATGTTCTTATCATTGTCTACATTGATCTTTCTTGATTCTCATACTACTATTTAAGCTCTGTGACCTTTGACATATAAGATATGATATAATCCTTCCAGGCAATACAAATAAAACTTTTTCAGTTTTTTTGTACATGGTTCTCTAAATATGAGTATCATCTTAAGTCCAGTCCAGTCTTCCTCTGCTGCTTGCAGGTTTTCAAGTGTAACCATAAATGTGTCAGTTTTAATACTCAGTTGACAAACATCTTGAATTAACAATGAGATATTATTTTATTTTTATTAAAACGATTAATTTTTATTTTGTTGATATTTTATCTTATGATATTTAAAAAGGAGACTAAGTATCAAAGTATTGCAAGTATGAAATCCACGGATTGTCCCAAGTGACAAGAGAGCTTGTGTTGTGCATTACTCTAAACCTCTGAACTCACCAATCCAGCCAGAGCTTGTCATTTCCAAAAGGATGATTTTCTTTATATGGTCAATTTCTCTGATGTTATTGTTTACCCACTATTCTGCCAATAAAATGTCAACATGGTTGTTTGAATTCATGAATTGAATTATGACCTGGGCTGTGACATTCCACCAATGGGTCACTGAACTGTTAAATGGTCTTAACTATACAGAGGTTATTTTAGAACTCACCTTGCTCTCAGTGTAGAAAATGTAGTTTTATAAATGTCTATATACTATTTCCCATTACATGATAATTTAAACATATTATTTAATTAATTAATATAATTATACTCACCCACAGTGAAAGAAGCCAAATATCAATGCTCCCGCCATAAATCCAGCACATATTGCGAATTCAATATTACTTTTTGCTCCAAGCGCCACAGCTGATGTGATGAAGTTGAATAAAATTGTGATAAAAAGTTCCGCTAGCAGGAATCTGAAATTTCTGAATCCACGCACAAATAGCTTATTCCGTTTTTCACATGTGGTCGGTTCATCTATTTTCAAGATAGATGTCCTAATAGTTGGCGCTTCATCCTCGCTGTCACTTCCTTTGCTAGACATCTTTCTCTGAAATGAATTGTTTTTCATCTTTGGTGTATACATATAAACCAAATACTCCATCTTTATAATCTTGAAAATGTAAATATTTTTTGATGGCTTGATTTCTTATGAAGAATTGGTCTTAAAAACTATCAAAATTATCAAAATTTGAATAATCATAAAGATTTAATTTGTTTACCTGTAAGTTTTATGCAGTAATACCCTTCTGTTCACTGCTAAGTATTTACTTTCGCCTTCAATGTCTTATATTTTGAGTTTCATTAATATTTATCTGAAATGCATAAATTGTTTCCTTTTAATTTTTTATTGACAATTATAGCTTATTTTATTATCCGAATGAATGATTTATGTTAGATATAAAGTGAAGCCTTTCTCAACATGTTCCCTTGTTTCAGCAATAACTCAAATGTTTGACAATGATGGGCTGATTTCTTTTTCACATTCGTTTGCAAGATAATGCTAGAATAAAATATATCGCTAAGTTGTGACAATGTTTTAAATGGTTATCCTTAATTTAGTGCTATCCTATGCAGTCTTAATATCAATAGGATGCCTGATCTGATTGATCAAAGACAAGCAACTTGTAGCCATATTCTTATACAGGGGCATGCATGTATGTATGTATGTAGTTCATAATATATCAGGCAAGCTCATTGCAATAATATCATCACTTAGCATCAACCAGAGCAACTTGTGGTAACATTATAAGCAGGCCCGTAACCAGGCATACGCGAGGCAATGCAGTTGCAGGCCGTAGCCAGGGGGGGGGGGTTCGCAGGGTTCGGGCGAAACCCCCCCCCCTGGCCAAAAATTCTTTCAAAATCATGCAGTTTTTGACCATTTTGAGCACTTCTCAAGTGATTTGGGCCAAAATTGTCAAATGTGAACCCCCCTGGAAATTTTTGAAAATTGAACCCCCCCTTGGCAGATCCTGGCTACGGCCCTGCAGTTGTGTACCCTAAATTTTCCGGGTGGGCATGCCCCTGGCTCCTTAGTTTAGCTTAGTCTTCGGCCTCGCGTACCTGCTATTAAAATCCTAGTTTTGTAACATTTAGGTATATGCATGTGTACTGTAAGAAATTATGATGATAAAAATCTTTAAAAGTATTATATAGCACAATTGCCAGGATGGTTCATAAACGATTTGAGTGGCGAGCGAATATTAATAAAATTTCACCATATTTGGATATCAATTCTGATTTCATATAGTTTGGATGCATATTTCCATGCTATGGGATATTGGTCAATGCAATCAATGCATTTTGCGCACTATATGTTTACTAAATGTATTAAGAATTCCTGGTTCAGTCATCAATCAATGCAGATATCCTGATAATTGTATTGCTAATCATGATTGTTTAAGATTATATAAAATGAACTTTTACTTACTTGTATTCGCTAAACTTTAACACATATGATGTGTTACCCTGCGTTACCTTAGTATAATGAAGTTGAAAATAAAAACATTTATATGAAGAAGGTGAATTGTATATGCACCAGAAAGCACTGATCATATTTTTTCAATACTTTTTTTTATTTTATTTACTCTTCATTGCATCAATTTAAGCTTTATATTTGTGCATTTTTTTCTATAGTAATGTATCTATTCAAATAAAGTACAGGATTGACTCATGAGATACTTTTCAACCTTGAATATGTTTTTTATATTAAGGATAGCTGTTTTTACTTACCTTTCCTTATTGATATAAAACCTCTTTTTACAAGTGTATATCGATACGAGTTACAGACATGTGAAAATAGACTCGGCTATTCTTAAAAGGACAAGACATTTTGTTGAACCAACAAATATTTGTTCTTATATTTAAGTTTAAAGTTTGACATTGGCGTAAAGGTTGAATTTAAGTGGAGCTTGGATTATTTAACCTCCTATTTGCACGGCTGGATTTAACTTAACAGGCACTGGCAATTTCAATGTTTTTAAATTCATAGGTATAGCACCTTGAAACAGTAAAGCTGAGGTATGTGAATGACCTCCTTACTACACTACAGGGTGTTTCATGTAACTCAACTTACAATGAATATCTTTTTAACAAATAGAGTATGACAAATCTTGTTTGGCATAGTTAAAGCTGGTCTTTAAGTTGACAAAGTTTTATTACTGTAGCTTGTGTATGGCCCATTTGTTGGCCATTTAAAGAGCCTGTCCCAGGTTTCTACCACTTTTCCACAGACAGACTTGCACACTTGGTGTGATGCAATGGCCTTCAGGACTGTCAATAGATGGCGAAAAATGCAGTGGGTTTAATAGCATACTTTAACATGTAACAAAATGGAATAATCAAAACAAATTGACTGTATTACATATAATGTTAGATATGGTGTGACTTAAACGCAATGACTAACATTTCTCAAGCACAGTTATGAGGGGGAAGGGAGGGGAGTTAATTTTCCATCTACGATCTTTTGAAATGCTCCCTAATAAGGACCACCAATCCAAAAATAATTCAATATGGAATATTTTTCTACTTTAGTGTGACGCAGGTACGATGGTCTCAGTACAACCCCCATTACTTGGAGCCAACCATAGATAAGACGGAGCTCAAGAAACCTTTGGAGGAACAAGACCCCCGTAGATTTCAACCAATCAAAGCTATTCGTTCAGAACAGACTGTAGCACTTGGTTATGACTTTCAAAGGGAGTAAGCAAATTTCTGAATTTTATGGTTTTTCTTGACATATTGTATATAGTGTCTCAGGTTGTTTAATACTACCTTTAACCTTGACCTTCAGTCTTTGAATAGTCTACCTAAGCTATATTTTACAAACAAAGCAATGAGTTCAGTCTTTAGACGCCATTTTTAACCTATCAACATTTTCAACCTAAGTATCAACATGGGTTTTCAAGAGATGCCCAGGGTATCAGCACTCAATATTTTTTTACCATCTGGGTAAATATTAATTTTATCATAGAATTAATACAATTAAATAAAAGTGGTCCATTTGGTATATAGATGAATAAACTTGAAATTGACATCCCCATTCAAAAATATTTATAGGTACCAGGGTTACCCAAATTGTCCCTTCTGACCAACAGTGCCACTTAAAGAAAATACCGTTTTATGTTTCAGAAAATTCATCAATATCATGATGAAGCAGGGAAACAAGCGACTGTCCAGGGAAATATTTGAAAAGGTGAGACATAACGTAACTGCGTCTTTCACTTTATGTAATGTTGTAAAAGTACACTCGATGATCTGTCTATTTACTCCAGCGATATTTGCAAAGCTACAAAAAGAGAGTTTGTTTTTTACTTGAAATCAGCAATGTACTTTTTATTGGCTCACACAGTGAGCCTATGGGATTGACCAGGCGTCCGTCCGTCCGTTGATCCGTCCGTCCGTCCGTTGGTCCGTCCGTCCGTCCGTTGGTCCGTCCGTCTGTCTGTCCGTCAACATTGGCCGCACAAATTAAAATGCTATTCGGATTGAGTCCTATCCACATTCATTTTATGCATATCCATAATGCCCATTTGACCTATCATCGCCATTTCCCAAGTTCGCCCAGTTTCCGAGAAATTGCAGATTTTGACGTCAAAAAGTCAAATTTTCTGTAAATACTAGACACTTTGTTGAAGTAGAATTTTCAAATACCTTTTAGTAGTTGGTGTATATGCAACTTATGTCCTCTGAAGATTTCAAAGCTCTTGGAATTACGGTTTTTGGTGTTTACTCTATAAAATTTGAAAAAAAGTAGGACTTAGTTATTTTCAGGAAACTTTCTCATGTATAAAGTCAATGGCAGGTTTTGTGATTGACAAGATTCTTAAAGTTTGCCTTATACTTGATCATTTCCTGCAATAAATTACATCATTAATAGATTTAAGCATTCCCTACATATTTCTCAATATATGTCAGCATCAAATTTTTACCGTTTTTGAGATATTTGACGTCAAAAAACAGTAAAAATAAGTTATTTTTCAACTTGCTTCAATTTGACCAAATTTTTTTTTGAAAATCATCTACAAGTTACCAGGAGTTCAAATCTGACATTAGTTTTAGGATTTGACCTTTACTTGACCTTCAGTGACCTTCGAAAGGTCAAAAAACTTTTTTTCAAATTGATTTTTGGATGTAAATTTTGGTCAGCTTAATCACAAAAGACCTTACTGAGAATAAGTAAAATTTTCAAGGTCAAAGGTCATCAAATAGGTCACACAACTATGCTTTCTAAGTTTGTCAAAGTTCGAGACTACAAATCCAAATCAATATTTTTGTTTGAAAGTCAGGATATAAATTCCTCTGAAGGTTCCAAACTGTGTGAGCATAGGACCGTGGGTCCTTCATCTTTTATTATATTTCACCAATCAGAAATGTAGTGTTAATATATTATTGTGAATTATACAACAAACAATTTCTTTCAGTCCTGATACTTCTGTAAAGAATGGATGAATTGATATGTTTGCTTAATATTTTACTTATGTTCAGAGTAAATATTGAAATAAAATATTTCAAATATCAATGTTGAATCAAAAACCTTGAATGGACAAACCTGAAGAATATGTTAAAGAAACCAAAAATGGTTTGAAAATGATCATGGATTTTTTCTAAAAACTCTTGAGAAATATCTTAAAGACCCAGTCCTGGTAAAAAAGACCTGAATCAGTTGAAAAAAGCATGTCTTAATTCAAAATATCCCGGGATGCCCCAATTTTATAATTAGTTTCATGGAATTATCAACTGGATGGGAAATAGTTTTCATTTTCTATTTGAACTATCAGAAATGTAATTGGGATGCTGCATTGACAAAATAAAACATGATTTTGTTTATTTACTTATTGCAGTGTTTGGAAAATATAAAAAGAATTCAGTTACAAAAATATCACAAGTCAGAAGAAAATGAACGATCTTCCATTGAATTGAATCCAATGAATATATTCCACCAAGCCATAGAAAACTGTAGACCACTGCTGAAGCTGACACGTATTAATAAGGGTGGAGTTGCATATCAGGTATGTGATCCGGGAAAAGTATTTTTATAACCATATTGGTTTTTATGTTTACAACTCATTGTTTTATTTAGGCCATAATATGTTATCCAATCCATGTTTATTCAAAATGTTGCTTTCTTCTTTCATGTACATTTACACATATATCTTTCATTGGCTCAGTTAATCATGTCATATCGATAACATGTCAGTCAGTTTGGTCAACAAAGGAGCATATACAGGGTGTTCAGGAAATAAAGATAATACTGTCATAACTTTTTTATTTATTTATTCATGGATTGCATTGAAAGTTTCAGAGATTATAGTTTTAACATCTCTAAACTTATTGTTGGAGTTTCAGCTTCAGGCGATTTTATTGGTTGATTCTGTGGTTGTCATAGCAACACGAGTAGCGCTAAGGCGGGGCAGGTGGAATAACTGCAGTATATTTGCATGTTTTAAATGTTTTAAAAAGAGATTCTTTCATGTTAATGACTTAAAATGGATGCTTAAACATAGTTATAACTATAAGCCTGAAATTCTTTGCCAATTTATCAATTTATTCTACAAAATTTCCCCCATTCTAGACACAATCTCTTTGCCTCTTGAACCTTCTTCAAATACTTCACAGAATTCTTCTTGACTCATTTCCTGAAGTCTTGTTAACACATGTGAACGTATGACATGAGTATTCTCAAATGCATGTCCTCTTAAGTCCTGTTTTGATTCAGCAAAGAAGTATCAATCATTTGGTGCTAGGTTGGGTGAATAAGGTGGATGCTTGAGTTGCTCTAATCTCACCTGCTCAATTCTTTAGTGATTATGGCAGCAGTATGGGAGGGGGAAGTGGAAGAGAAATTGCATCCCAAGTTGCTTTCTATGTAATGCCTGCATTTAGTCATGAAAATCCCATTGAATATCATTAAAAAAGCATTTATTTGACTTTTATATCATAAAACAAATCAATACAAGAATTTTATCATGGAGATGCACCAAGAAAGTTTTAAATATGGAGTCAAAATCGGTTTGCCATGCTAAATGTTACACAGAAACTACTGCAGTTATTCCATGTGCCCCGCCTTAGCGCTACTCGCGTTGATATGCCAACCACAGAAATGACATTTCAAATTGCTAGAAGCTGAAACTCCAAAAGTAAGTTTAAATATGTTTAAACTAAAATCCCTGCAAATTTTATTGAAATCCATGAATAAATAAAAAAGATATGACATTATTATCTTTATTTCCTGAACACCCTGTAGGTTATCGCAAACAATTTCAAATGATTCTAACATGAATTATGAATATTTTCTGATCATGAACATGGGTGTATCTTTTAGATCCATTCATTATCTTCTAAGAAAAGTATATATAATGATAATTTAGTTAATCAGACCTAAGTGATATTGAAGGGGCAATGGACCAATCAACATACTTTTTCAAAAATGTTGACCTAATTTTCACCAAAAATGCAACCTTTTATTATATTGTTGAATGCATAATTAGAATGTGCTTTGAGACATATTCGAATTCCTAAAAGGAAAAGTTGATTGCTCCAGGGACTTTAAAGATATTGAATTTGGATGACCAAAATGAATAGCATGAGATTTTTCAATGTAGAAATAACATGGGGAACACTTATGTTAAAGCAATTAAGTTTTTCTTTCAAGAACTATTTGATACATCAAAATAAAGAATAGTAATGCCTTAAACATTGTAAAAAATGATTGCATTTTTGGTGAAAATGGGGTCAATATCTTTGAAAAAGTGTGTTGATGGGTTGATTGCTAGTTAAATATCTCCGAGTTTGTTTGACTTTATTATTACTGTATATAATTTTCTTTGAGATAATGAATTGATCTAAAAGATAAACCTGTCTTCATTGTCAGAAAATAGTCATAATCCAAGATATAACCTTCTGAAATTGTTTGCGATAACCTATGTGCTCCTTTGTCACGTTTTAAAACTCCATATTCAATTTGGACATAAATGGTATACATGGTGATAGAATAAGTGCTGTGAAAATATGACATCTATAAACAAAGATTAAATAAAAATATTAAAACTTTGCATATATAGTTCTATATTTAATATTTTTGATAGGTGCCAGTCCCAATGACAGAGAAGAACAGCACATTTCGAGCCATGAAGTGGATGATAGAATCTGCCAAAGCAAAGGATGCTAACACTAGAATGTATGATCAACTAGCTCATGAACTTATTAATGCAGCAAATAACACAGTATGTATGCTCCATTTTGATAATTGATGAGGGTTATTTTAGATACCTTGTCTTGTGCTCAAGGATACCTTGTTGAGTTGTAATCATTGTACCCTCCTACTTAAAATAGGTTTTGTTTTTCAAGAGATATACCCATTTGGCTTAGTCTTTTATAGAAGTGTTGTTTAGCAAAATTGTACACCTCATAGTCTATTTTGTATCTTTTCGTCAAAAAATTCATAAGTTTTCCTGAGGGTTTTGGGTTATTTGATCCCTTTGCTTCTTTTGCCGAGTTTTGTATTACGATTGTTGCATTCTCGGGAAAATATTTTGGTAGTAGTTTGGTGAATGCTTTGACCGATTCTGAAAAATGTTCAGTAATGCCAACAAAAATATAATTCTTCCTGATTATGTGTTTTACATGTTCAATCGTGCATTTGTCAATTTTTCTAGTCTGTCTATCACAGAATTGGTTTCGCATATCACCAGGTTTCAACAGACCACATTTCAAATTGTAAACAAGACATTTCTCTAGCTGTATGCCTTTGTGGTGGCCAAAATGAAAATCAAAGTAATAATACCTAGATATAGCCCTTTCCACAGGATCTCTTAGCATTTGGATATATACTGGATGTTGTTTTCCAAACGCTGTAAAATTAACGAATGACATGTGCCGAACATAAAATACTGGTCTGGAAAAGGAGTCTATATAATTTGCAATCTGTTTATCATTGAAGTTTATAGTGCTATTATCATTATGATCTATGACAAAAGTGAAATTATTATCACTTGAAACCTGCTGTACTATCTTATATAGTGTTGTACTCCCACATTTTGCAAGACGGTTATACACAACAATGTCAGTATTAAATGTTGTATAATGTCCGTTGACTGCAAAATGTTGTGCTGGAATTTTGGCTGGAATATGTCGTCCATTAGTTATGCTATCCTGTCCATTGGCTACAGACATTTTTGCATTAGTTTGGGGTTTCTTAGTGTATTGAACTTTTCCAGTATACCAAGAAAATGTTGTAATTGCAGTAACTGATAGAATTGCCAAGCTTGTCTTCATTAAACATTTCATCTTGTTATATTTCCAATCAGAGCATAGACTTGTAATTGATATGCAGATGTTCTGTGTTCGATCTGATATACGTAGAGAATGGTCCCATCGGTCTGTCTGTACATCTGTTCATCCGGGCAACAACTCAAATATCCTAAGCCCAATATTGTTTTATTATTTTACATGTACAGTGTGGGCCATAAAACATCCAAATTTTTTATTTTCTGTATCTTAGATACAGCATATAAAACTTAAATATTGATATGTTTTAAATGCAAAAAATAAGGTATTGATTAAGTTATATCTAATTATTTAACAAGACACAAAGTGATAAATATCGCTCTTTGTAATTCACCCAGCATGCCCAAAATCTTATCAGATCTTGGCTCTAGTCTGTTCTTGCATGTGTAACAATTTCAAATTGAACGGATAAGTGGTTTTCCTGGAATTATGAGTACAAGATTTATGGTAAAATTCAAAATGGCCACCAAATAATTTACCCAGCCCAGCCTTGTTAATAACATTATTTGTGACCTAGTTTGATGCCCTTGACATTCGCCCTTGAAAATTTCACTATTTCAGACCTCAGTAGGTCTTTTGTAATTAAGGTGACATAAATTTGAATCCAAATGTTCAATTTAAGAAAATCAACTTTTTTGACCTTTTAAACGTCAACCAAAGATCAAATATTAAATCTTCAGTCAGATGTGAACTCCTGAGCAATTCTAGATGATTTTAAAAAAGAATTTGCCAAATTGAAGCATGTTAAAAAATTCAAAATGGCCACCATGTAATTTACCCAGGATGCCAAAAACCTAATCAGATCTTGGTACTAGCCTGCTCTTACATCTGTAAAAATTTGTAATTGAACCCCTGGAACTTTGATTTCAAGATTTTTGGAAAAATTCAAAACGCCACCAAGTAATTTACCCAGCATACCCTAACTTTATCAGATCTTGGCAACAGTCTGCTCTTGCATCTGTTAAAATTCAAGTTGAACAGGTAAGTAGTTTTCATGGAATTTAGATAACAAAATTTGATTTATGTGGCACTCGTCCGCATGTCTGCCTGGCTGGGTGCCCACCCTTCCATTAGCACAAGATGATGGCAATATAGCACCTTTTCAAAGTGTGATAAAAAAGAATTAAATTGTAGTGTCAGATAACATTGTGCAAACAATACATCAGATAATTAAATGTATCGTTCTTAGACATGAATATATTGTGTTATAGGCTGTTTATAGCATCATTCATCAGAATGAAATCAGTATTAGAACTAAAGAAAAAAACGATATCATGCAATTATTTCGTAAAACCAACAACTGTTTTCAGCAAATGATCCTGACACTTTATATTATCAATATATTTATAGTAGAGAATGGCCATGCAGATTGTGACCACTACATGATGGCTCAAACATGTCAAAAAGGGTGACAAGGAGTTTTCCAGAGAACTATATAAAACACACAGATATTGCACTTTGAAGACCAAATTTTTCACCATGTAATTTACCCGGCATGCCCAAAACCTAATCAGATCTTGGCACTAGTCTGCTCTTGATCTTTTATCATTTATTGAACCAATTTACTCTAAAGTTGAAAGTATTTCTGCATGTGATTTTTCAACACTTAAACTTCAATCCTCATGGGAAGTTGAAAGATGAAATATCTGGAATCATTAAAAAGACAGTGACAGGTTGTAAGTCTAAAAGATGTAAATTGTAATTCAAATAGCAATTTGTATTTTATTATTATACAAAGTAGAACACCTAACACAATACACATAGGCCAAGGTATGTTGCAGATTCAGGTGCTGGAACTTAACAAGGTGAGAACAAGAATAACAAAACAAACCAAAATATTTTTTCACTTTTTTACTCAGTGTTTTCTCATTGTTCTTTATCTCCAGATCTGTAAATCTAAAACAGTTAGGACTAATACATATTAACATTGTCGGATATATATGCTGTGAATATTGAAATATTTGAGAAAACTAACTAACAACACTGAGATCATTTTTCCTTTGCCCTTGGAATTTTTTCTCCTGCAACCCGAAATTACTCAAGTCCAAGGTTCTCCTGCAATTTCTGACTCGAGTTTGGCCCCACCACTATAAAGTTTAGAAGTGTAGTTTTAAGTCAAAATGTAGGAAAAGCAATTGGAACAGATTGTGATCCTCTTTTAGCAGACCTTTTCTGTTCTCTTATTTTATTCAAGTTTTTCCAGTATACAAAGAAAACGTTATAAAAGTAATTGCTGTTAATGATAGAATTGCCTCCATTTTCCTTATTGAACCCTTCATCTTGTCACAGTTTGAGACCAAACAGAGCCTCACACTTTAGAAGAGCAATTTAATTCCTAATGAGTATTGAGGTTGGAATCTTAGGGGGTATTAATAAACCAAATCCTTTTGTCCTGTAATGTAGGACATCTACATAAGAGGATACATTGGTTGGTTTGAATCATTGTACCTTCCTACCATAAGATATACCCATTTCGCTTAATCTTTTATAGAAGTGTTGTTTTGCAAAATTGTACACCTCATAGTCTATTTCGTATCTTTTCGCCAAAAAATTCATAATTCTATCTGGGGGTCTCAGGTTACTTGATCCCCTCGCTTCTTTTGCCGAATTTTGTATTGCAATTGTTGCATTCTCTGGAAAATATTTTGGTAGTAGTTTGGCGAATGCTTTGATTGATTCTGAAAAATGTTCAGTAATGCCAACAAAAATATAGTCCTTCTCGATTATGCGTTTCACATGTTCAATCGTGCATTTGTTCATTTTTCTAGTCTGTCTATCACAGAATTGGTTCCGCATATCACCAGGTTTCAACAGACCACATTTCATATTGTAAACTAGACATTTCTCTAGCCGTATGCCTTTGTGGTGGCCAAAATGGAAATCATAGTAGTAATAACCAGATATAACTCTTTCCACAGGATCTCTTAGCATTTGGATATATACTGGATGTTGTTTTCCAAATGCTGTAAAATTAACGAACGACATGTGCCGAACATAAAATACTGGTTTGGAAAAGGAGTCTATATAATTTACAATCTGTTTATCATTGAAGTTTACAGTGCTACTATCATTATGATCCATAACAAAAGTGAAGTTATTATCACTTGAAACCTGCTGTACTATCCTGAATAGTGTTGTACTCCCACATTTTGCAAGACGGTTATACACAACAATGTCAGTATTAAATGTAGTATATTGCCCATTGACTGCAAAATGTTTTTCTAGAATTTTGGCTGGAATACTTGTATATTGTTCGTAAGTTATTATGCTATCCTGTTCATTGGCTGCAGACATTTTTACGGTAATTTGGGGTTTCTTAGTGTTTTGAACTTTCTTTGATCCTATTTTTCCACTATACCAAGAAAATGTTGTAATTGCTGTAAATGATAGAATTGCCAAAGTTTTCCTCAATGAACACTTCATCTTGTCAAGGTTTGAGAGCCAAACAGAACCTTACCCCTTCCTCTTGATGTACAGCTATTATTGATTATGAGCTTTGACTAATTCAACTTTATCTCACTTTTATATTATATTTGTAAAAACACCATCTCAAAGCTGTACAAATTTAAAACAAATCTGATAAGTGATTTGGTAGAATTTTGATGATAAGATAGGGTGTTTTTTGTCAGCTTGCTTATCTAATTATCGGACAAAGTTTGCAGAGATATAGAGAATGGCTCCATCCATATTTCTGTCTGTCTGTCTCTCTGGGCAATTACTCTAATACTTTTGGCCCAATATTGTTTATTTATCTTTTACAGGCATATGCCCTATATAATTACGTATGTTCTGCTAGAAAGTCGATTTTGAAAATAGCCACTGGTTTGAAAATGGCTGCCATTTTAGTGTCAGTTTTACAGGATTTTAGTAACAACATATAAAACTGTGATATTTATATATTTTGAATGCAAAAAAATGATATTATAGGATTTAGTTGAAAAAACATGGTGGCTGTCTTGAAAAAATGGTGGATGTTAATGCTATTTTGCTATAACTGGAAAAGTAGTGGAGTGATTTGATGTGAATACTTATAAGCATGGTTCACTGTCTTATGACACTTCGACTAGTAGGCGCCATTTTCATTGCCCTTTGAAAAAGTGATATATTGTTGTCTTGTACTGATGGGTGGTTGCAGCTATGTTATACTTTCTTCAGATAATAACTTGAAGTCAATTGTTGTTTCATATAATCAATCTTCTTTATAATGACAGTACTATACTGTAGGCTATGTTACACCAATAAATAAATGTCCATCTTAGTTTTAGCAAAAAGTGGCTTGGGAGATCACTTTGTATCTGAATACTTATAGAAGCATATTACACTGTAATATGACAATTTGGCTACAAACCTTTGAAAAAATGGTAGCCATTTTTGTTCTATTTTACGTTTTGCTATAGCTGAAAAGTAGTGGAGAGATTTTGCTAATATGATTTTATATAATGAATATGTACAAACATATTACACTGTCTTATGACAATTTGGCTTATAGCAGTCATTATCGCACTTTGAAAAAGTGCTATATTGTCGTCGTCTTGTGCTGTTGGGTGGGCGGGACATAAACCAAATCTTGTCATCAAATTTCCAGGATAACTGCTTACCTGTTCAACTTGAAATTTTTACAGATGCAAGAGCAGACTAGTACCAAGATCTGATTAGGTTTAGGGCATGCTGGGTAAACTACGTGGCGGCCATTTTGAATTTTTCAACAAATCTTGTCATCAAAATTCCAGGAAAACCACTTATCCGTTCAACTTGAAATTTTTACAGATGCAAGAGCAGACTATTGCCAAGATCTGATTAGGTTTAGGGCATGCTGGGTAAACTACGTGGTGGCCATTTTGAATTTTTCAACAAATCTTGTCATCAAAATTCCAGGAAAACCACTTATCCGTTCAACTTGAAATTTTTACAGATGCAAGAGCAGACTATTGCCAAGATCTGATTAGGTTTTGGGTATGCTGGCTGAATTACATGGTGGCCATTTTGAATTTTTCAATTTGGCGGCCATTTTGTATTTTTCAACTTGCTCCAAATTGACCAAATTTTTTTTTAAAAACATCTACAAGTTCTCAGAAGTTCAAATCTGACCTTAGATTTCAGATTTGACCTTTCATTGACCTTCAGTGACCTTGAAAAGGTCAAAAAGTTGATTTTCTAAATTGATATTTTGGATTTAAATTTAGGTCAGCTTAATTACAAAACACCTACTGAGGTCTGAAAAAGTGAAATTTTCAAGGTCGAAGGTCATCAAATTAGGTCACAAACAATGTTATCTAAATTTTCCCAAAGTTCAAGACTACAAATAAATTCTTGTCATCAAAATTGCAGGAAAACCGCTAACCTTGTCAACTTGAAATGTTTACAGATGCAAGAGCAGACTAGTGCCAAGGTCTGATTAGGTTTTGGCCATGCTGGGTAAATTGCATGGTGGCCAGTTTGCTCTTCAAAGTGCGATATTTATCACTGTGTGTCTTGTTTTTTTTATGACTGCTATCCAGCTAAATTGAAACTATTGAGTCTTCAAACTCACTTCACCGCAGTTTCTGACATGTATATGGTATTCACAGCCATGTTAATGCTACTTGCAGAAAGTGTCAATTCAGTCATGTTTTTTCTTATTTTATTTTACTTCACTTATTTTTTTCAATTACAGGGCAAGAGTATCAAGAAGAAACAAGAGCTCCATAAACAATGTGAGAGTAACAAAGCATATGCCCACTTCAGGTGGTGACACCTATAGGAGTGATCTAACATCATAGGAGCTTCAGGGGTCTTGAATTTGGGCATTGATGCAGGAACTATTATATAATGAGAGACATTAACCAGTCAAGGGAAATCTCAGGATTTCTGAAATATGGTGGGTGTTGTACATAATACATAACTGTTGAACATTACTAAATAAATTATATTATGTTATTGAAAAGTTATTCCTAATCCATATTAATCAATGAAATGAAGAACAGTGATTTAGAAATATGTATATTACATAATTATTCCACATTAAGGAATAAAAAAAGTTGAAAAAATCATTAAAATACTGAGTGTAATATGAAGCAAGATTGAATACTATAAAGTATTGTTTATGTTATTTTAAGAAATTGAGCTTAACTAACATAATATTCAGATATATTTGTGTGCATTGAATACCTTTGGGACAATAAAAAACTGTAGTTCCACTTAATTTCACATAGAGGTTCATTAGTGAGAAAGGAATATTTCACAAAACCTAAAAACTGTTTCAAATAACTTTATTGTATAGACTCAAATTATTAATGAATAAATCATATAATAAAAAGCCAATAATAATTGTTGTCTGCTTCAGTTACAGTGTAATTTTGACTGTGTCAGACTTTAAAATTAAGAATTCCAAGAACCCAGGTGACAGTAGGTAGATTCCAGTTTCGCCACCAGGTGGCTAATTTGTGTCAGATAGCATGCCAGATATAGTAGAACGTTCAATAAAACAATATTCATCAGCTAAAGTGGATCAGTGTTCATATAACTATTATATGTCTGATAATTCTACATCTATAGTAAATAACCACAAATAAATGCATAAATGGTGTTTGGGCAGTCATTTGTGGTTGAATACAATCAAAGTTTTATTAATATGCATGGCAAAACTTTTGGAATCAAGATTCAACTTTGTTTAGCTAAAATCTGAGGTTTATTGAAAAAGAAAGAATTTAAGAATTACAGTCATCCAGCTGTTGAACAGTGTAATGTACAACAGGAATTCATCTAATAACTGCTTTTTATGTAAGGGTCATTGCAAACATGAAAACAAATATCTGTTTGATGATGCTGCATTTTACAGAAGTTATCTTTTAAAATCATTGAAGTTTATCAACAACTAAGACATTGTTTATACAAATTGTATTATTTCACAATATTGTACATATAAACAAGACTAAGAATAAATGCACATTTTATAATCTAAATAAATTATTTATTCAGCATTAAGGTGGTTCACATACAATTACAACTGTACCCTGTCTATTAATAAGGCATATTTACCTTCACATATGTATTTGTCTTATACAGAGACCAAAAATCTTTTTAGGGTCATCCTGCAATGACCCAAAATTTTTTAAAAATTGTCAAGAGAAAGAATGACAGGAGCAAAAAGACATGCCGAACCTGGAACAATTTTTGAAAAAGCTTCCCTGTATTTTACTTTTTGTAATCTTTAACATATTTGAACCTACTGGTATATGCATTTACTCATTATGCATCTGGAGAATAATGCATACTTTTATGCACCTTATAATCAATTCTGATGATGGACTCTTTCCAGCAAAATCCTATTGTTTGATTTACCCTGATAACAAAATGGTGGCTGATGTTAAGGAGATTTAGCACAAAGAACATGTATAATGTCTATATCATATACCGGATTTTCTCGCATATAAGCCCTGGGCGTATAACTGAAAGAAGGGGTAATTTCGTCTGTTATTTTACCTCTTATTTTTCGCCCATGGGCGTATAAGTGTACTACTTTCGATTTTTGGCCAAGTGGGCGTAAAGGTGAGAAGAGCTGATGAATACAATGGAATGTTAAGTTGTTAATGAATGTTAATACAATGAAACAAAGTAACAACAGGACGATCTGCCAGTGACAAAATACTCAGATTGAATTTATTGAAAAAATCAATAAATAGTCATTTTATAGGCCTATGGGCGTATAAGTGTACTACATTCGATTTTTGGCCCATGGGCCTAAATTTAGGGGGGTGTATATGCGAGAAAATCCGGTACCCAGATCTCAAAACTCTGGCTGATTCATATATTCATTGTCCGTCTGACCAAGATAACCTTTGATTTCATGGGATCAATTAATTCTGTTAAATGACGATATCAATTCTCAGCTTGTGGCAGGTCTTTAATACCAATACAGTAAAACCTGTCTTAGTGGAACACCTTTATGTGTTTCACTTGGGAGGTGTTCCACTTACAGAGGTTCATTTAACCTCAAGTCAGTTGATCTTGGGACTGAAAAGTGTTCCACTAACAGAGGTGTTGCACTTCTGGAAGTGTTCCACTTTATAGGTTTCACTGTATTACTGAATAGATCCAAAATGCAAGGGTTATTCCCTAGTTCTGTAGTTTCATGTTTACTTTAAGGAGATCATTGTAAATAAGGTTACAAATGACTAGCAGAAAGTGCAATCAGTCCTTTCTAAAATGGTGAATTCATTCCAAGTTTCGTTCCAAAATGCAATCTTGCTCTTCGTTGGTAACGCAGGTCGGACCTGGAAATATGTAAATTCATCATTATTGTATTAAGTACTTCCTTCAATAGGAAAAATCTAGTTTTTAAGACAAATAAGAAATTAAAACATTTCCTGAATGTAGAGCTAAAAGATCCACAAACCCTTAACTAATTTCACCATTTAACAATGCAACTCATAATGCAATTTTCACTTTGCTTATCTCAACTAATATATACAAAAAAAACAGAATATATATGATTGTCACCAGGTGCAAGGAGCAGGATTGGAATGCTTACAGAGCCCTGTTTTCAGAAGGTGAAAATAAATGACATTATTTGACAGAAAGACGCACACGTGGCTGTAACCTAATACTAGCAATGATACCTTTATTAAATCTCACATAAACATTAAAAGTTAAGAAAAACGTATCATGTTTTATCAAAACTTGCACGTTTAAGAATATGAAGTTGGATTTACCCTAAAAACCAACCCTGCTCGATGCATGTGATACATTGACACAACTTACTTGATTTCTTTCATCTTAACCAGTTCGTTGAGAGGGACCAAGACCAGCAACCAGAGAGTGGCCAGTAACCAGCTGACCAAGGGAACTGCCGAGATTTGTATTTGGTCTGATAACATGGCACATGAAATATATCATCTGGATAACTATCCTGAAAATGCAAAGATTTTTGACACGTGAGATATAGTAATTGGATAAGTATCCTGTTAAATATATAACACTTGAAATATATCATCTGGATATTACTAGAAGTCTGACAAAATAGAGGATACATGAAATAAATCACCTAAACACAAAATCCTAAAATTACAGTACAATGTTGATTTTCTATATCAATTTTTTAAGCTATGATCACCATACGCCAGCCGTAAAGCAAATGTGACTGGGGCTTTATTTAGATACTTACAGACATGGGGTCATGATGCACCACAGTTTATTAACAAATGGAGGTCTCTTCCAGAGATAGAAGTCTCTATGTATGAAGCTAAGTGAGGTACAAGCTGAAGTATAAAACATTGGACTTAAAGAACAATTTCAGTCATGGTGAGAAATGTACTGAACTGGAGTATACCAGTATATTAGCAAGAGCTGATTTTGGAACTTAAAGGATTTCTATTGACAAATTCTCTTTACCATATATCCTAATTAAGATAATTCATTTTGCATTTATTTTAAAATCTAAAGTAACTGTTGAACATAAAAGTGAAACTTACAAAAGTATAATACTGCTTGTGTGACTAGAAAATGTTGAGCTAGATTGTGTTCCCTAGTGTATGTAGTGGACCAGCCATGCCAGGTGCTGCCTTCAGATGGAGTATCTCTGCAAGGAGAAAGACTTGCATGTCAATGTGTAACTCAACGCATATACTGCCAAAATAGAATATAATTTACTCTCGTTGTACTTACACATTTTCATATGCTGTACTCCGGGTATTTTTTTGGGATGCGATTTAGTTTCATTTTTTTCCAATTTTGGTAAATCGCAAAAAAAATTGCTGTGAAATTCATTATCCCTAGGAATTCATGATTACCTGCAACTCTGATGCATTTCGTTTTGTGAAAAAACGTTCATTTCTCTGAAAGTTATTAGCTGCAAATTGTGATTTCTCAAAACTCAAACTCGCGAAATTAACTGGGAGTACAGTATGCCTGGAACCATACTTTTATATAGAATAGTTGTACTTACACATTTCCATATATGCCTGGAGCCCAAGAGCAGGTGCTATGTTGCTTAGACTCACATACAGCATTAAGTGTCAATGTGTAACACAACACACATATTAATATAGATGGCAAGAATCTGATCACGTTAAACAGCAAGAACTGGGACACAATCTGAAAGATATAGGGTGAACTTAACATAAATAAACGAAGCATTAACATGCAAAATGTCACCACCTGCCATTTGTTACAGACACAAACTGCCATTTCTTACAGACACTGATCATAGAACACCATCCGCAAAAAGTTGGAGACTATAACAATATGTTACCACTTCTGGTGGTGACATAACAAGTCATTATAATGTCACCAACCTGTAAGATGTCATTAATAGTTTCAAAACTGTAACAACTTGTTACTGATGTCAAACACCTAACATCAACCTCCAATTTCTGACTACAGAATGTCAGCTACAAAAATGGAGACCACAACAATTATATGTCACCAATTCTTAGGGGTAATCTAACAAAGTTGCAAGATACCCCATTTTTAGAAAAGGCATTGACACGCAAAATGTCACCACATACCATTTGTTACAGATGCCGAACACCAACCATGAAACACTGTCCACAAAAAGTTGGAGACAACAACAATATGTCAACACCTTTGGTGATGACATAATAATAAACCAACATGCCAAAAATCTATGTCAGAATTTCATAAAAGTAATAACCTGAATTTGTAGTTACTGTTTAGCAGCTTGCTCAGTAGCCTTTTAAAGAAACGTCAGGAGACTGATTATCAATTTAACTGTGGCCATACATGGTAAATAAAACACAAAATAGGCCATGTCAAAGATTTGTAAGTTAGTCAAAGATTGTAAAAATGCTAGAGAGATATTTCTGAGTCCTTTGTCTTATTATCATTCCTAGTCATGCATATTTCCTAAGAATGGCACCATTTGGTGGGCTCATATTATTTTGGTGGTCATTTTTTAAAATATGGTTTTGCAAGTATTCAATTTAACAAATGAATAAAGGCCAAGGAGATTTGAAAGTTCAAGGTCATAATGATATGGAAAGGATTTCTAAAAGATAAAGTCAGTTTATAAAATTTTCTGATCTGAGTGTCCCCTGTAAGTCTATTATATGGAGGTCGCCTCATTTAAAGGCAGCCTCAAGAAAGGTCAAAGGTGTAGGCTATGTATTTCATATCTTGTGACACACACAGACCTATCTTGTGACACACACAGACCTTTCTTGTGATGAGGTCAGACAATATCTGGCAACCTTTAACAGATAACCTACTAGCCTATGTAAACCTTCATTGGTAAATAAACATGACAAATAATTTCAATTTTATAAAATATGTTTATTTATAATAATGTTATATCACAATAATAAACTATTAAACACTAAAGTACTACATTAATTTAAAATGATTAAAGTTATATTACAACAATAAAAGTAAAATAATTATACTACATGTGTTTTATACAACAATTACTGAATAATATTTACATAATTAGGAACACAACTTTAATTACAATCATCAATGATCCAGCAAATCATGTATATTTGGCAATTAGGCCTTCACTCAACGCAAACTTATTACAAACTTATGAATTGTCATTCTTGCTATGTGTCTACATTTAAGATTTATTTACAATCATTTTTATATTTATTTCTATTTACATTTATATCATGATCATATATTGCAGTTCAAATGCACTTGTTCATTTTGGCTTATAATGCTTCATTGCAAAGCTGCAACATGTGTATGTAATAATTTTACTATGAAATAAATCACATATAAAAAATGCACTTATTTTAGGTTAGAGCTATCACTGTGTGTTATATGCTCTATTGTAGTCTAAATGCATTCACTTATTGTAGTTTATGTATGCGTTTGTTCCTGAGGTCTTCCATGCTCTGCCAGAGGGTTGTCATGCCCTCAGTGTTCCCACTTGCAGCCACGCGTTGTAGATTGTATGCACTACGGGAATGCTTTTTGGCCACCTTTGCATTTTCCCTGATTAGGTTTTCTACTCCAGCAATCAAAACAACATTACCGTGAATGTCCTCCTTTGATCTATGGTGGTCAATTGTGCTGTATTTTACTCCTGATATTGAGACTTTTTCAGTTTGAATGTTCTTCCGTGAATCATGGTGATCTATGTTATCCCTAATGTTGTCTCTAGAACCATAGTGATAGACACTTCGTTTAATGTTCTCCCTTGAACCATAATGGCCTCCCCGGCGAAAAAGCATGGAATAATTCCTGATTATTCGTGAATTATTCATCAATATTCATGTAAAATATTCATGAATAATCCACCAATGAAGAATAATTATTCATGAACTATTCATGAATATGCGTGATCATCAATTTGGACACTTCCCCAAAATTCTTCAAAACTGAATTACTGGAATATTCATGAATAAACTTTCAAGGACCCGTGAAGAATAAACAAGAACAAAAAAGAAAGAAATATCAAGGAATTTTTGAAGAATAAACATGAATTTATATTCCTTTTTATTCTTCACATTCTGATTCAGCAAAAATCATGAATTCTTCAAGCATATGCTTGAACATCAATTTGGATATTCTTCATTATTCTTCAAAATCCTTCTATGTTCATCATTTATTACTCATTTTTCATCATATGATAACTAGCACACCTGCCATGAATTATTCAAGAATAAAGATGAATAAAAATTTTAATTGTCGTGGAATTTTATAAGAATAAAGAAGGAGAAATTTTTATGAATCTTTAAGAATACACAAGAATGAGCATTCATGATTTTTGACGAATAAACAAGAATTAATATTCTTCTTTATTCTTCAAATTTCTAGTAAGCAAATTCATGAATTATTCAAGCATATGCTTGAACATCAATTTGGACATTCTTCATTATTCTTCACAATCCTTCTATGTTCATCATTTATTCCCCAAATTTTCATCATATGATAACTTGCTCACCTGCCATGAATTATTAAAGAATAAAGATGAATAGAAATCCTGATTATCAGGAATTTTTTAAGAATAAAGAAGGAGAAATCTTTATGAATCTTTAAGAATACACAAGAATAAACGTTCATGATTTTTGACGAATAAACAAGAATTAATATTCTTCTTTATTCTTCAAATTTCTAGTAAGCAAATTCATGAATTATTCAAGCATATGCTTGAACATCAATTTGGACATTCTTCATTATTCTTCACAATCCTTCTATATTCATCATTTATTCCCCAAATTTTCATCATATGATAACTTGCTCACCTGCCATGAATTATTGAAGAATAAAGATGAATAGAAATCCTGATTATCAGGAATTTTTTAAGAATAAAGAAGGAGAAATCTTTATGAATCTTTAAGAATACACAAGAATAAACATTCATGATTTTTACGAATAAACAAGAATTAATATTCTTCTTTATTCTTCAAATTTCTAGTAAGCAAATTCATGAATTATTCAAGCATATGCTTGAACATCAATTTGGACATTCTTCATTATTCTTCACAAACCTTCTATGTTCATCATTTATTCCCCAAATTTTCATCATATGATTACTTGCTCACCTGCCATGAATTATTAAAGAATAAAGATGAATAGATTATCAGAATTTTTTAAGAATAAAGAAGGAAAAATCGTCATGAATCTCTAAGAATAAACAAGAATAAACATTCTCGTTTTTGAAGAATATATATTAATAAATATTCTTCTTTATTCTTCAAATTTCTAGGAAGCAAATTCAAGAATTATTCAAGCATATGCTTGGACATCAATTTTGATATTCTTCAATATTCTTCACAATCCCTCTATGTTCATGATTTATTCCTCAATTTTCATCATATGATAACTTGACACTTTCCATGAATTATTCAAGAATAAAGATCCTTATTATCAGGGATTTCTTAAGAATAAATGAGAAATCTTCATGAATAAACATTCATGTTTTTGATGAATAAACAAGAATTAATATTCTTCTTTATTCTTCAAATTTCTAATCAAATTGATGAATTATTCAAGCATATGCTTGAAAACTAATTCTTAAATATTCATCGGTAATTCTTCAATTTTCAAACTTCCAGTCACTATTGAGTTCCCAAGAATAAAGATGAATAAACATTCAGGATTATTATTATCACTTTAGAATAATGAAGAATAAATTCTTCATGAATAAACAAGGATTCCTTTATGATTTTTAAGAATGAAAATATTTTAAAGAATAAATGATAAAAACTTACCTCATTTCTTTTTACTGAGTTATTCATGTATATGCATCATGGGTAGTAATCAGAAAATGCTTCATTATGCATCACCTCAATTTTTTATCTGATGTTTGCACTTTCCCTGAGTTTCTCAAGAATAAATATGAATAAAGAATAAACAATTCAATTGAAGTTACATAGAACTGCTTTATATTATTCTTAACAAATACTGTCAAACTACAAAATGAGTGTCCTTCTACAGGAAAGTTACAAAGTTACAAATACAAGTGTCTTGTCAAGTTGCAAATACAAGTGTCTTACGCATCTACATTCTATTTTTTAAGCGTAATGCCTTTTGAATGTTAGCAATTTTTTCCTTCGTAATTTTTGGAGAAGTCTTACAATGTCTTTCCACTAAAGTTAGCACTCTGTTAACATTAGTCTGGTCTAGTGGGGGTCTAGAGCTCTCTGAACGACTTGATTTTTTCCCGGTGACACTATGGAGTATCAACTCTTCTTCTGTGAAAAAATAGCTTACCAGCTTTTTTGTCACTGAACGGACATCACTTGCTGGTAGATGCTTAATAACATCATAAGCAATGTCATTTTCGTCCATATGCATTGCTTTTCTTATTTCAGCAACTTGGTTCTCGAGGTCCTTTACTCTCCTCTTTAGGCTTCTAATAGTTCTAGCAGACCTATATTGAAATAAATTGGAGACATTCAAAATCACAGGTATTTTTTCATACTTTTTTCTGAAAGGTAAACATGGTCATGCAGGGGTTTCAATAAATATGTTTTCAACAGGCTTTTTTGGCGATTTCAATAGGCTGGAACTTATTTCACCAAAATTGCTAAGGACAATGAATTTTTTTCTCAATATTTGAACAGGCATACTTGTGATTTTTTGCCGTCTGCCTGACTCATTATGAAAAGGCCAGAGGGATTAAAGAAGTA